CTAGGAATTGTTGTTCAAAATCAATCCACAACTAAGAAGAGTGTCCGACTCCAATTTGAGGAGCTCGAGGCCTTGTAGAGCTTTATCTTTAAGGCTCAATAAAACTCAGAATCATACAAAGCCTGAGTAGTTCATGCTTGTCATAAGATAGTGCGACTTAGAATCTTCTAAGAAGGAGATACGGTCTAGGTTCTTTGGATGCCTATCTTAGCCTACCGAGAGATCGACAGAGGAGTTTGAACCAATACAAGAATATTCTCTTATTGTAAAGATAAACTTTAAGAAAATTTTAAATATTAACTGATTAACCCTGAAGGATGCCACCCGATATGTTTCAAATATCGGGGCGGCTCTTCAGGAAGTAGCATGCCAGATGAGTGTCAAAACTTAAAATCAAATTCAAAAAAATCTTCAAGCTCAAACAAATCAAATTCAAACCATTGAAAGTCGCAATAATTCTTAAAATCAAACTTTAAAAAACTCTTAAAAATCAAACCAAATCAAATTCAAACTCTTCAAATTCAAACAAATAAAAATCAATCAAATAAAATCTCCAAATTCAAAATCAAACCTCAAGTTCAAAGATTCATCAAAATCAAAACAAGTTTCAAATTCAAATTTGTTAAATCAAATTTTAAATTTAAACTTCCTTAAACACAAAACCAAATCAACTCAAATTTAAAAGTCATTTAAATATCAAATTTCAAATTTCAAACTCGATCCTCTGTGTAGAGCAAGTTTCCTCTACATATGATCATCCATACCCGATCTAGTGTGTAGAGCAAGTTTCCTCTATATATGATCATCGAGACCCGATCCACTGTGTAGAGCAAGTTTGCTCTACATATGATCATCCAGACCCGATCCTCTATACTGAGCAAGTTTCCTCTACATACGATCATTTAAACTTGATCCGCTATGTAGAGCAAGTTTTCTCTACATATGATCATTCAAACATGATCCTCTATGTAGAGCAAGTTTCCACTACATAAGATCATTCGAACATGATCCTCTATATGGAGAAAGTTTCCTCTACATACGATCATCCAGACCCGATCTTCCATGAGAAGTAATGCTTCCTTCTCATAAGATCTTTGAGTTTCTCTTCCTTAAGGACAGATATGAGTCATCGTGCTTTCTATCCTTAGGATTAGACCCACTAGTGGTGGAGCACGCCCTCTGGGTCACCATCCTAATTCCAAATTCTAGATTTGATCTTTTGAGCAGAGATAGTTTCCTCATCCACAAGATCATCCTTTAGTGATGGAATACGCCCTCTGTGGCACCATCCTAAATTCAAAATTAGATTCGATCTTTCGTGGGAATAAATGCTTCCTTCCCATAAGATCTTCCAGTCTTCTTTTCCTTCAGATAGGTGTGAGTCCTAGAGCTTCCTTTCCTTTAGGATTAGATCCACTAGTGATGGAGCACGCCCTTTATGGCACCATTCTAGTTTTAAAATACAGATTAGACCTTCTGTGGGAAGCAATGCTTCATTCCCACATGGTCCTCTAGCTTTCTCTTCCTTAGGGTTTAGGTACTCCCTTCCCTTAGGATCAAACCCACTGGTGGTAGAGTACGCCCCTCGTGGCACTATCGTAGCATCAAATCAAATTTCAATCTTCTAGGATTATGTATTTTTATTCCCTTGGAATCAAATTCCAAATTAATTCCTCTAAGGTTAGGCTTCCCTTTCCCTTGGAATCAAATTCAAACTTGATCCTCTATAGTTAGAAGTTCCATTTTCATATAGGATCATCCAGGCTTTCAACCTTAGGGTTAGATATTCTCTTTCCCTTAGAATTAGACTCCCAGTGATGGAGTATGCCCTCTATGGCACCATCGTGACTTTAAATTTCAAATTCAAAAGAAATTCTAAATTCAAACACTTTTTCCCTTAAGGTGTAGAGTTCTCCTTCCCTTAGGATCAAAATTCCAGACTTGACATTTCAAATTGGTCAACACCAATATGTGCAATAGAACTTCATTCTATTACACATATTGGGGGTCCATTTGTTGATCTCATTTTTGTATGAGGTCACTAGGGACCCACCCAGACTCCAGATTAATCCTGACCCCAGATCAATTTAATCTCCAGACCAATCTAGACTCTAAGATCCTCCTAGAATCCAGACCTTCGAATCCACAATAGGTCCTAGGAATCTTTTAGACTCTAGGCTCTAATTCAAATCTCAAGTCAATTCAAAATTTCAAATCAAATCTAGACTTATAAACTTATCCAGACTTTAAACCTATCCAGATCTCAATATCAAGTTCAAACCTAGATCCTATCTTTGATCTAGCCTCACTCTATCCTTTCACTTATGAGCATCCAACGAATCATAAAAGATATGGATAATTCAAATTCAATCATCCAAACTCAAAATCTAGATCAAATCTAAAAATCCATACTCAAATCCTACGTCCAAAGACCTTGTCCTAAAGGCCTTTTCCAGGGATTTTTTCAAACACTTTAAAACCTAATCAAAAGACATCTGATTCAGAGCCTATCACTTGCAAAGTGATAAGACATGTCTCTAGAGGTAACTCTCCAAATTTGATCCCATTTTGAGATCTCTAACCCCAGAAACTAAATCAAAATCCAGAGGCTATAAAACCTTCAAATATTTACATCCTATGCCACTGGACCTTCCACCTAATAGATCCTGACCTTGGAGCTATCTACAAAGCCTCCAATCACTTCTAAACCCTTAATCCTGACCTATTGAATATTAAACTGCACTTTGGTAGACCCATCTTGACGCCTAGTTGACCAGGGGTCAAAATGACCAAAATGCCATTTAAGGACAATATTGAAGTTTTATTTAGACTTAAATATGACCTTTTCAATTCAAACCCCAAAACCTCTTCCAATGCATCCTAATCACCATTATGAATACATTGGACTCAAACCCTGACCCTGGTCAAGCCAAGTTGACCAGTTCGACCCTTTTGACCAAAATACCCCTTAGGGGTTCAAACACTAATTTCAAACCAAACGACCTCTAAATTTCTTCAAACCACTTCCAACAAGTTTTAAATATCGAACCAAACCTGTTGAACCCAAATTCAGACCCTGTGTCAACCTGGTTGACCAAGTCAACCTAGGTTGACCCGATAGGCCCTTAATGGTCTAAATGGGTTATCTTAACCCATTTAACCATTTCAAACCATTCAAGCCTTCAAACGCATCTAATTCCATAGTTCAAGTATGATCAAATTGATTTAGAGTTAATTCAAAGGCATTTTGACCAAGTCAACGTATATAAATTTGGTCAAACTAGCTTAAATCCTTCTCTACTCTTCCAAGTTCAAATCCTTAAGTTTCAAACTCCCTTCAACTTGTCACTCAGGAAGTTTAAAACTTATTCCCTGCCAACTCAGCACTCCCACTTGACTGTTGACTAGTCAACTTGGTCAACAAGAGTGCAAGAGAGGGTTTAGATGGACAAATCTCCATCAAATTTTGATTCCTCCCTTAAATATTAAATCAAAGGCATCACATCTGTTCTCTAAGGCCATATGGGTGCCACCTCAGTAGTCCACCTGGACTTTGACGGGTCAAACAGTCAAAGCAAGGGTTTAGAGGGGTTAAGGTTGGTCAATACCCCTCTAAAATTTAATCTCATTTAATCTAAACCTCTCCTGCTATTTGGAGAGATTCCAGAACCTTACTAGAGGCATTTTCAACCCTTTGATTAGGATCAAATAGCCCTAATGATTCCCCCATGTGTTCGAAAGGAGAAGGCAACTTTCTACATCATGTCCTTTGGTCCTTTTTTATTCCTCTGCCTCCCACTACCCTAGGGCAGATGGCAAGAATTAAGGGAGTCTTCAAACAGATCAAGACTGTCCACAATGGCCTGAAGCATTTTGAATAGGGCAAAGTTTCCTAATTAAGCATATATGGACCTTAAGCCTCTCTCACCAAATCTCTCATCCACAGAGCTAATCCCGCCCTCAAAAACTCTCAAAAAATTCTCTAGGCCTTCCCCTAGCATTTCCAAGACTTCCCCTACAAAAATCTAGCCTCCAAAGCTTTATTTGGTGAAGAGAGAGAATCAGGTTATTCACAAATAACTTCAAGTCCAGCTAGCTCCAGCTCCAAATATCTTCTACAAAGTTGAAGAGGATTTTAGCAACTTTCCAACAAGCCCAAGAAATTGAATATCCAATGGTTGGATTGTAAGTTATGCCCATTTAAAATTTAAATTTCAATTTAGAACTGTAGCAAATCTACAAAGTATTGAGCCTCCAAACTCCATGCATTGTTAGATTACGTTACCCCCTAGCTATAGTTCAAATTTTGTGCAATTTCATTGAGTATTTTGGGAGATATGAGCATTTGAAATTTCATACACAAAATTAACTAGAGAAGATCTGGACCGTCCGATCAAAGATCGGACAGCCCAGATCGCGCCATACTATGCATCTTCCTCCGGATTCAAATGCGGGTGCTGACGTGGTTAAGTGGTGGGCCCAGCCAGCCACGTGGCCCGTTCCCAATGGGCGCCGCCATTCTAATGCCAATGATTGGCGCCGGCGGTCAGTTTGACCAAAAATGGTCAAAAAAATTCAAAAAATAAGGCCAGATCTTCCAAAATTCATAGAAAATCTAATTTTTCACCAAATTGGACATTTTTGGGCTCGTTGGAAATGGAATTTAATGTAGTATTTATATTAAAATTAAGTTAATTTGATCACTGTGTTGTTAGATATTATTTATTATTTGAAATCAGTGTTTTAGGAATTTCTCATAATCTAGTGGTCAATTGAACCCTGAATTTTGGTGGAAGATTATTGGGTATCTTAGGCATGTTCACTGATTTTTCTAGGGTCAGATACACAATGGATTTATGTGATGTGAATTTTCAAGGTAAAGGGTCCATTTTGGACCCTAAATTTAACTCTCTTAATTCTTAGTGTTTTGCTGTAAAATTTCTATGGTGTGAATGAATGTACACAATAATCTTCCACAAAAATTTAGTCTTGGAGGTTTGATGGTTTTATGGAGGAAAGACTTAGCCAATTTTTCAGTCCTGGAAGCTTCATCTCAGATGATTGTGGGGAAGCTTACTGTGGCAGGGAAGGGTAGCTGGGTGGTTGCTTCAGTTTATGGAAGTAATGTTGCTCAGATTAGAAGGAGGCTGTGGACTGATCTAGAGAAGTATTGTTCTAGTGATCTTCCTTTTATAGTTGGGGGTGATTTCAATTGCATGATTTCTCAAGAAGAAAAGAGAGGAGGGAAGAAATTTTTAGTCAATCAAGGATCTAAAGATTTTACTAATTTCATGATTAGTAATGATTTGCATGAGGTGAAGTCTATGGGGCCAAAGTTTACATGGTGCAATAATAAGAATGGTGGAGCTCACATTCTTGAGAAGCTTGATAGATGCCTTATTAATACCATTGCTATGAATCATATTCAAATTACTTTTGTGAAACACTTGTCTCGTGTGGCATCGGATCATTGTCTAATTTTGTTAGAGGTTTTTAAACCTTTGGTGCATAGCAAAAAAATGATCAGGTATGAAGAAGTTTGGGCATCATATTATGGTGCATCTGCGTTAGTTAAAAGCATTTGGAAAAGAAATGGTATAGGAGATCCGGCAAATATTCTGAATGTTAAGTTCAAGAGAAGTTTGAAAGCACTTTTCTATTGGAGCAAAGTGCTTTAAGAGATTTGTTGAAAGAGGAGATATTGGAAATCCAATTGGAAGAATCTGAAGGGGAGTTATCTAAGGAAAGGATGCATATTTTGAGATTTAGAATTAATGAACTCAACATTACTTTGGCTAGGATCAACACTTGGTGGAGGCAAAGAGCCAAAACTAAATGGATGGAGGAAGGTAATTGTAATTCCTCTTTCTTTCATGCATTTGCTAATGCTAGGCATAGCTCAAACTGGATCAGCCATATAAAATCTGGATATGGTAGTTATTTGGAGGATGAATCTGAAATTCAGAAAACCATTACAGATTTTTTCAGACTCAAGTGGAAGTTTAGGGAATGTAATTTAGAAGGGTGGCCGAATCCTTCTAGTGTTCTTAATGTGGAAGATCAGAGATTGCTGGAGGTAGATTTCTGTCAGGATGAACTCCAGTTGGTGGTAGATAGCTTTAAGAGGAATATCTCACCTGGAGTTGATGGGATTTCTTTCTCATTCATAAAAGATTTTTGGGAAATTATCAAAGAGGATATATGGCTTGCTGTGAAACAATTTTTTATCTCAGGAAACATGGATGAATCTTGGAAGGAAACTATGATTATTTTGATTCCCAAGATAAAAAATCGTCAAGAACTTGTCCACTATAGACCAATTAGTCTTTGTTTGACTGTTTACAAACTGATTGCTAAAATTGTACTCAATAGAATGGAGAAAGTCATTCATAAAATCATTTCCAATGATTAGGTGGCTTTTGTGAGAGGACGTTCCCTTTCAGATCATGTGTTGTTGGCTCAAGAGATTTTCAGTAAATTTAGATGGTCCAAAGCTAGAAGTGGTTTGGTTGCAATCAAGCTTGACATGGAACAAGCTTATGATAGTATGGGTTGGAATACTTTAAGGGAAGCTCTTTCTAACTTTAATTTCCCTACAAAATTTTTGGATATTATCTTACAATGTGTCATCAATCCTAAATTTTGTAATCTTATAAATGGGAAAAAGTCTGGATGGATAGATGGTAATTGTGGCTTTAGACAAGGTTGTCCTTTGTCGCCAGTTTTATTCATTTTATGCTCTCAGATTTTGTCGGATGCATTGATAGCTAGAAGAGATGGTAAGGGTATTCTATTTCTCCTTTGGCTCCTAGAGTATCTCATTTACTCTCTGCTGATGATATTTTAGTATTTGCGGAGGCTAAATACAAAGAGGTTAAGGAATTAAAGAAGATCATTTCCAATTATTGTGATTGGACTGGACAGAAAGTTAATAACTTGAAGTCTATGATAATGTTTGGGAAACACACTAATAGTTTCATTCAGAAGAAGATTATTAAGAGGCTCAAGTTTAAAGTGGTGAAGGAAATCAATTACCTAGGAGTAAAGATGACACTCAAGAGGATGGTGGCTTCAGATTTTCAGATTTTGTTGGATGCTGCTAAAAATAGGCTCAATACTTTGGGGGAAAAATGCATTTCACTAGAAGGTAAATTGGTTTTAGTAAAATTAGCTTTTCTCTCTTTAACCCAATTTTTGTCTACACTATCTTTGGTTCCTTTGAGTATTCTTAAGGAATTTGATAAGATGTGTAGAGGTTTTCTTTGGAGCAAAAATAATGGGAATGCAGGAATTCACTATGCTTCATGGGAGCATGTAAGCCAAAGGCAGTTGGCGGAAGGGGTTTGTTTTCTGCTGTTTCAAGAGTTGGTCCTCTAAGAGCCAAATTAGCTTGGAATTTTTATATGAAGCCTCACTCTTTGTTAAATCAAATTCTTAGAGCAAAGTATGGTGGTGATCTTTGGTCTTATTCGGTGAAGGGTGGAAGTTCATCTACTTGGAAGATTATTACCATGGGAGCTAAATTCCTTAAAAGCATTGTTAGATGGAGCATTTCTAATGGGAGTTCTATTAATTGGGTGAATGATTCTTTGATTTTGGATAAATGTATTGCTTCATGGCCTACATTTGTTAATATTCAAAATATTTCAGATTTCAAACTGAAATGTTTTATTTCTAATGGATCCTGGAATCTTGATGTTCTCAAGGAGTCTTTTGGTGATCAGCTGATGAGCCTTATTTCCAAAATTCTGATAAACGTAAATAGAGAATGTGATGTGTTGGAATTGAATAACAAGTTTTCTGGAAAAACTGTTACAGCTTTGGCTTTTGAAGCCACTTTGAATCTTGAAATTGAAAGAGATCATTGGAACTGGTTAAAAAAACTGAAGTTAAACCCGAAAATAGTTCTTTTGGTGGAGGCTATGTATGAAGGCTGTTCCTTCTAATTCTTTCCTGGTGAAGAGGAAATTGAGCACATTCGCTGGATGTCCGAGAGGCTGTGAAGACATGGAGGATAACAATCACCTTGTTGGTAACTGTTGTAAAATTCGGGAGGTTATCTTGGTGCTGAATAAGTGGGGATTTCCTATCCCATTGTATAGGGATTTCAGTGAATGCAAAGATGGTCTTCATAGTTTAATGAATAAGGATATATGTAGTGCGAATATCTTCTGTTTTGCTATTTTTCTAGTTTGGAAAAGTAGATGCAAGTTGGTACATGGGGAAATTGAAGATTCTAACAATGTGATAGCAGCAAATGCAATTTCTTATGTTGTGAAGAATAATTTTCTTAATATTCAACTGGAAAACTGGGATGCTAATCAGCATACGCTGTTTCTTCCTTGGTATCCTCCTCCAACCGGTTGGATAAAAATAAATGTGGATGCTGCTCTTAAAGGTAATAATTTAGCTGGTATTGGAGGTGTTGCTAGAGACGGAAATGGCAGATTTCTGGGAGCTTTCGGAACTAGATGTTTTCACTGGGATATTGCTCAGTTAGAGCTATTGGCTATCGTCTATCTGAAATATGTTGTGAAGGAATGGATGTTTGAAGCTCAAGGAATCATCATTGAGGGAGATAACTTCAATATCATGAAGATGCTTCAAAAATCGATGAATACCCAATAGGGGTGAAACTTAAACAAAGTAAACATATAGTGACATTTTAAACCTTAGGTTCAAATTTCACCCAATTTGGAGCTCATTAGGTCAGAAAATTAAACAAGTCAAAGTTAACCCCTTAATTGAGCTTTAAAACATCTAAAACTTACAATAAATCAAGTTTAAATCCAAAAAATACAAACAGCCCCTTGAACTGACCAGAATTCAACCCTTAATCAAGCAAAATTAAAACCAATTGAATTCGACATCAAATATGATCTTAATCTAATTTTAAGTAAAATTAAATATTTAATTAATTTAATTAATTAATAATAATTAAAAATTTCAAAAAATTGCCAAACACTTGGGAATCTCTCCTTAGGTCATCCATGACCTTTGGAGTTGGTTTCAACAAAATTTTATAACTAAATATAGAAAAATCCAAATTAACCAAACTCACTTGCATTCAACTCATAATGATGTCTAATATTTAGTAAAAATATCAAAATTCCAGAAAACCATTAAATTTGAAAAGTCAACTTTTTGGTCAACTTAAGTTAAAATCAGTTCAAAACTTCAAACCTTCATAATAAAATCCAGAAAAATCCAATTTTAGCGTACTTATAGTCTAACTGATCGTATTAAAGTCTAGTATTTTAATAAAATATTAATTTCCTAAAAAATATTCTTAATCAAAAAGTCAACTTTTGACCCCTTAATTAATTGATTAAAATAATCCAAAAAATTTATAAAGCTCAAAAATCACTTTAAAATTCCAGAATTCTCTAATTAATCTTAAAATCTTTAATCAACCATAAAATATATTTCAAATCATTAATACCTAAAGTCAAATTTAAATCTTTCCTTAAGCCTTTCAACCAATCAGAAATTCAAATAACTTTAACAAATTGCCCTCCATAGGACATATACAAACCACACGGCCTACCTCACACACTTTAGATAGTTTGCTAGGACAACCAACTCTAGTTTTAGGATAGGCCGGTGTTTAATTTTTTGCTGTGTGCCGAGTTTTCAAGCTTTCACTACATGCTGGTTGTTAGCTTAGAATTGATTGACTGTTTGTTTTTTTATTTACTGCACTCTATTGAGCATTTAAATTTTAAATATATAAACTTCTTGAGATTAATTATAACTGCTTGGGATTATATATAACTGTTGATTATTAGGATAACCCTGCAGGATCAAGTCTAGATTTTTCAATTTTAATTAATATAATTTGATATAATTTGAGGTATATTTAAAGTGATTTGAGTTTGGGATATTTAATCCAATTTGAACTCCAAAGAGGAGAAGACATCCCTAAAGGGGAGAGTCTTTTTTTATTTGGAAGTCAAATTGGATACTCTTCAAATATCCAAAGAGGAAGGATAACACCTCATTCAAGGGGGAGTTTCTTTTCATTTGGATATCCAGACCCGGCGATCTAAGAAGCAGTAGAAGGACGAAGAAGTGGATAACGAGAAGACCCATTCTCAAAGTCACTTGAGTCTTTGGATTAGAAATCCGGGTTGTTGTTAGTGGTGCACGACCACTTTACTTTTCTACAAATTCTGATATGTAATAATAAGTGACACTTGCCATATGGACTTTAAATTTGATATTGATTTAACTTAATTGATTTATTTATTGGTTGATGTGTTGACTGCGAATAGGATCTGCCTGCTTTTCCTAGTTTTTTGGACGATCTTGCATGTCGACTTTGATTTAGCCTGGAACCCGATCGTAGGCTCTTAAGGACTTGTCAAAATTCTTCTACTTTTATTAAATAAAATTTTTAAGATAAGATAGAAACTCTAACGATTTAAGAAATAAGCCTAGAACCGTCGGGAGTTCTCATTTCATAACTTCATCTTTTCAAATTTAAACCATTGAATCAAGTCAATCAGCATGCATTTCATTAGCAACAAATTACATAGAGTCTAAATTTTTAATTGCATCATTAGCTTAAGCATCTTACCCGACATAAGTCAAGGGGTCAACTAAGGATCTGCTCTAGATGTTGACCTCATTCCTTTAAACTTTTCTAAACAACATCCCGACCACTCAACATTAAAAGTCTGGACTCATAATTTGAAAGTGCCTAGGTGGTTTAGCTGGCTCCCCAATCCAGGTCGGGATAAGACCAGATTTGCACTGCATTAGCTCAGTTTGGGTCACTTCTAAATGCTCAATTTAGACTTAGGTTTGGAGGTTGGCTCGAGCCATAAGACCTCAACCTCTGGGAATTGAATCCCGACTTTCTAATAAAATTGAACATTCAAACTTAAATAATTTTCAATCAAATTTAAGCCCAACACTTAGGATAGACTGAGGTGTTTCTGAAATAATTCAGAATCCGAAAACACCTCCTACCCTTTTTTCTTTGACTCCAGAAATAAATGTTCAACCCCGAACCAATCCTGATTGAAAATTCAAACCCTTACCTCCTTTGACATCGATCTTTAAATTCTTAAATGAAATTTTTATCGCTATTTTAATCAAGAGTATTCGTAGGGAACTCCAGTTTCCTACGATGTAATTAACTATGAGGGCTTGAGCTCGTAGGAGATTTAGAATCCCGGACCTGATTTTTAAAATCAAGTTTTCAAAATGTCTAATTAATTATCTTTGGGAATTCAAACAAAAAAAATGGTGATCATTATTGTCATATTCAAATAATCAGTAATAGGTAATATCATCTTTCTTCGGGAATATATATTATTTTATTATCATTATTTTGATTATGAAATTAACGATCTCTTATCTGAATTATTATAGTTAAATAATTGATTGAACGTCATTTTGATCTTT